ACCTCAGACAATGTTTCTATTTGTTCTATTAAAACTCTGGATACTCATGTTATCCTCATAAAAGCCCAGTCTTTCTTATGAAATCTGCTAGCTTCAGCCTCAATGATATTGTATAGTAATAAATTATACTTGGGTGTAAAAAAAATATATATTTTAATTAGCATCAAACTTGTTGCCCTTCTATTTAACTGAAATTAATTTTCTGGCAAAGATTATGCAAACATAGAATCATAGAAAATTAGGGTTGGAAGGGACCTCAGGAGGTCAAAGCAGTAGTATCCCCAACTAAATCATCCTAGCCAAAGCTTTGCCTAGCCAGGTCTTAAAAACCTCTAAGGATGGAAAGTCCACCACCTCTCTGGGTAACCTATTCCAGTGTTTTACTCCTAGTGAAAAAATTCTTCCTAATATCTAACCTAAACTTCCCTTGCTGCATCTTGAAACCATTGCTCCTTGTTCTGTCATCTGCCACAACTGAAAACAGCCTACCTCCATCCTCTTTCAAACCCCCTTAAGGTAGTTGAAGCTTCTATTAAATCCCCTCTCAGTCTTCCCTTTTGCAGACTAAATATGCCCAGCTCCCTCAGCCTCTCCTCATAAGCCATGTCCTCCAGCCTCCTCAACATTTTTTTGCCCTCTCTTGGACTCTCTTCATCTTGTCCATATCCTTTCTGTAGTGGGGGGCCCAAAGCTGAACACAGTACTCCAGATGTGGCCTCACCAGTCCTGAATGGAAGGAAATAATCACTTCCCTTGACCTGCTGTCAATACTCCTACCAATGAGCTCAGTATGCTGTCAGCCTTCTTGGCAAGAAGGGCACACAGTTGGCTCATATTCAGCTTACTGTCCACTGTAACCCCCAGGTCCTTTTAGCAGAGCTGCTGCCCAGCCAGTCAGCTCCAGCTTGTACCAGTTAATGGGATTGTTGTCCTAAGTGCAGGACTTTGCACTTGTCGTTGTTGAACCTCATGAGATTCCCTTTGGCCCAATCCCTGAATTTATCCAGGTCACTGAATCCTAGCCCTACCCTCCAACATATCTACTATTCCCCCCCGTTTAGTGTCAACTGCAAACTTCCTGAGGGTGCACTCTATGCCATCTTCCAGCTCACTGATGAAGATATTGAATAAAACTGACCCCAGAACCAACCTCTGGGACACTCCACTTGATACCGTCTGCCAACTAGACATCCAGCCATTGATTACTACTCTCTAAGCCCAATGCTCCAGCCAGTTTTCCGTCCACTCTACAGTCCATTCATCCAGCCTGTACTTCCTTAACTTCCCTGTAAGGGTGTTGTGGGAGACCATATCAGAAGCCTTGCTAAAATCAAAGTATACCACATCCACTAGTCTCCCCGCATCTGCAGAGCCAATCATCTCATCGTAGAAGACAATCAGGTTGGTCAGGCATGACTTGTCCTTAGGAACATTCTGACTATTCCTAATCACCTTCTTCTCCTCCAAGTGCTTAGAAATGGATTCCTTGAGGAATGATCTGGAAATCCTGTAAGGAACCTAAATCTTGAGAGATTTTTCAGCTAAACAAAATTGCAAGAGCATCCCTCCCTCCTTGAAATAAATTATAAGGGCCTACGTTTCTACATTTGTGCAGTGATTTAAGGCACATTTACAATACCTCTGAACTGAAGCATCATTGTTTCTTTGTCTCACCATCCCTCTAGTTGTGAATATTCTAAGTAAATGTCTATACTGCCTTCCTGGTGGTTCCTGAAAGGGCTGCTTTCAATAACACCGTACTAATCTGCAGCTATAACACATGCCAAATCTGGAAATAAGATGGTGAAGACACTTGAAGGGCTGTTCTCAAGCACACTGGACATAGAGGTGTTCAAGACAGCAGCAGATGCACCCTTTAAGAAGCATCATTGCCTCATTTCCAGGTTTTCTGTTTCTGCTAGTAGGATGAGTGGGCAGGGCATGCCTGAGAGTGGTGCTCCCTCGGATCACCACAGATGCAGTACAGAACTAATACAAGGACATGTACAGGCATTCACTTTCTACCCGGAGAAAAATCACTCCCCCAGTAGAAACTAAGAGAGTACAAAGTGTTCGTTAAATCAGGTATGTGTCCTACAAGAAACATACCTGATTTGGGAGAAAGATCTTCCTTATTTAGAGAAGAAGATCTTGCCTGTGCTAGTTTCTCACACAGGAATGAACACCTGTACACTTCCCTGCCCCTCCTCTCCTCCCAGACCAGGAGGAGTCGAGCAGTGGAGAAATGCTCCCCTTGCCTTCCCAAGGACCAGGGTCACCATGGTGAGCAGCAGCAGCTCCGATTCCTCCTGGGACTAGGAGAAGTCAGAGGGGGTGGGGCAGGTTGGGAAATGCTCCCTCTCCATCCTCAGACATACCTAAACCCAGGAACATGCAAGGAGCATTCCCCTAGAGACTGGGAAGGGAGGGGAAGAGCAGCTGCCCATTGCCCTCCACCCCTTCCCTAGACCAAGGTGTCTGGGTTTAAAGAGAATGGGGGAGCATTCCTTAAATCAGTGCTTGCAAGTGAGGATGAGAGAACTCTCTCATCCCCAGCTGCATGCGACTATTCTGCTCCACAGCTAAGAAAGAGGGAGCTCCACCATGCCAAGCTGCACATGCCCTGGTGCATATAGCTTGGATTGGAGGATCTCCCTCATCCACAGCTGTATACAGAGTGCCTCTTTAAACCAGGGCAGCAGCAGGAGTACCCCTGTGGCCTGTCACTCTTCCCTGGGCTGACACAGAGCAGTACAGGGTGAGGCAGACTGTTGTACCACAACAGCGAGGTTCCCTACGCCTTTCCACCATGGTGGAATTTCCCCACATCCTACTGCACTGCTCCTGGAGCATGCACCAGCAATGTCCCTGTCTTGCCCTGCACTACTCTGGACTGACCTGGAGCAACACAGAGCAAGGCAGAGTGTCATGCCATGGGGGCAAGGCTCAGGGAGCTTTGCCACTGCAACATAATGCTCCCACCTCCCCCCATACTGCTTCAGGCTGACCTGGAGCAGGGCAAGGATTCAGAAAATCTGGTTCTATTCCCTGCTTTACTACTGGCCTGCTGAATAACCTCAGGACCTTACTTCATCTCTGTACCTCTCAGTTTTCCCATATTTAAAATGGTGATAATTTAGCCTGCTTTGTCAAATGGTTTGTGATTAATTATGAAAATACCATAAACTATAAAAAAAACTATTATTCTGCTATCTTTTACCTTGTGTATTTTCCATGGTTATGAGACTGTACCCGTTTCATTATAAGCCTAAACTTATGCCCTAGGGACATGATCCAATTCATACTATCCACACAAAGAGCAGGGCAGGGTATGTTCTCTGTGCAACAAACAGAAATGTTATGATTAAATGGCACCATATATCAGGGTATCCTCATTTTTCCCCATGGTAAAATCAGAGCAAGCTAGTAAATTAAACTGAATATGAGACAGATCAACTGAGTGGCGTACGTAGGTCATACTACATAGTCTGGTGCATGATTTGCTACATGTTAGCCAGGAAGTTTTCAGCTCTGTTTGCTAGTTGCAGGTTTGAAATGCTAAGCCTGCCAACAGAAATTCATAGTAAAGAAAAGCAGCATAACTGCCACCCAGAGAATACTGCACACAGCAAAGATTTATTTAATTTAATTAGTTCATTTATTTTAAACCAATTACCCTGATGCTGTCACATACGAATTCATGAAAATCAGTGCTTTGCAACTAAAGTAGAATAACTTGTAATGAATGGAAAATGTTAGGAAAGCCAGGGCTGCACAACACTTATGACTCAGTGCAAAGCTATCCAAAGGGATATGGAGGTCGTCCACTCATTAGAATGTGGGCTGAAACATTCATTGGTTTATTTTCCAGGAATGTTTGTGTGAGGCACTTTGAGGGGAACTCAAGACAAGACGTTTTGCCATGACTGCAGCTACAAAAGTTTACTACATTAAGATAGATGAAATACTGGCAGAACTTAATACTACAGTAGTAAAACAATCCTTTACTGAACAACACTTAGAAATACTGGCACTGATCTAGGAGCAAGCTGTGCTTACAAAGGTGACTGAGGTGACTTTGATGGAACAGATTAGGAACACACAAATGTGTAAACTTCTTGTTAAATAAAACTGCTTCTAGATTTATTTGTCTGAGACCCGTTTTAAGCCTGAGATTTTCAAATGGGAACTAGGTAAATAATTCCTTCTGGTAGCTTTAAAAAAAAAACAACACACAATCTGTAACTATAAGAATATTAGTTATTCCTTGTTAGTGAGCTATACAGATGACAAATTAACACAAACGCTTTCATACCCTTCATACTCAAGAAACAGTGAGTTTTACCTACTGTTTATTAGTTTAAGTTAGGTTCCAAAGCTGACATGACTAGTCAAAAGATGTAACGGGTACAGGAATAGCCTAAGACATTAATAATTATAAAAGCACCGAAGTCCCATGAAGAACACAAGACCTGAAGTTAGATGTTCCCAACTACGTTACTAATTCACTGTGTAAGGCAAGACATTTAACTTTTCACATTTAACTTGAATAAGTTAATAAGGGAATTGGTGAGGTTTTATAGGGAATTGGTGAGGTTATTTACCAAGGCGCCCCTGGGGGTTACAAGAAATAATGGCCACAAGCTAGCAGAGAGCAGATTTAGATTGGACATTAGGAAGAACTTCTTCACAGTTCGAGTGGCCAAGGTCTGGAACGGGCTCCCAAGGGAGGTGGTGCTCTCCCCTACCCTGGGGGTCTTCAAGAGGAGGTTAGATGAGTATCTAGCTGGGGTCATCTAGCCCCAGCTCTCTTTCCTGCCTATGCAGGGGGTCGGACTCGATGATCTATTGAGGTCCCTTCCGACCCTAACATCTATGAAACTTCTCTCATTTTTCCTAAATTAAAGTAGTTTTTCTACTGATGCATAAGAACATCTTTAAAATCAATGGATGAAAAATAATGTAGAAGAATTTAACAGTAGTATAAATCAGTTTTTTACCTAATTTACAAGAGAATGATAACAGCGCCATTAGTTCAGAGGATTTCTTCATAGGAGCAACGGCAGCTACAGAAGATCAGACTATCAACCTGAAAGCAAACAGAACATGCAAGTTGAAAATAGGTAGATAAGCCAACATGGTATAAAAACTAAAAAAACAAAAAACAATATTACTACAGAAAGCAAAGTTAGTCGCAGAGAGTAAGCAGACAAAAATCAAGACTTACAGTAATGAACTAAATTCCCCCTAAGGAAACATAAGTTAAATGTATGGATAAATAACTGGAAGATAAAGTTTGTAATAGAGCCAAGGAAAAGAATATCCAATATAAAGATAAAAGTGTGTCAAATGCACTCATAGGAGGCAAAAGGAACCAAAACAATTTTTAAATAGTTTGAGGATTTATTCCAGGCAACTAGCAATACAAATAGCCTTGATAAGATACCAGACTGTGGGTCAAACTATTAAGGGGGATGACTGGGAAACTCGGAATTAATCCCATTAGTTGCACAAGTAGATTTAGGACATAATCTTACATTTGATGCTAAATATTTTCTTAAAACTGCACTCAGGAAAACAGAGTATATTTACACACATTCAGCATTC